AAACCTGTGAGATACTCGCTGATGCTAGCACACGGCTGGAATACAGATACGTAGGAAATCGATGAGATACTCATGAATGTAGCACAACTTGAGACTACTGGTGACAAAGGAAACCATGAGATACTCCTGATGTAGCACACCCTGGGATACAGGTGACAAAGGAAGCTGTGAGATACTCCTGATGTAGCACACCCTGGGATACAGGTGACAAAGGAAGCTGTGAGATACTCCTGATGTAGCACACCCTGGGATACAGGTGACATAGGAAGCTGTGAGATACTCCTGATGTAGCACACCCTGGGACACAGGTGACACAGGAAACTGTGAGATACTCCTGATGTAGCACACCCTGGGACACAGGTGACACAGGAAACTGTGAGATACTCCTGATGTAGCACACCCTGGGATACAGGTGACATAGGAAGCTGTGAGATACTCCTGATGTAGCACACCCTGGGACACAGGTGACAAAGGAAACTGTGAGATACTCCTGATGTAGCACACCCTGGGACACAGGTGACATAGGAAACCATGAGATAGAACACCCTGGATGTGTTCAAGGAGTTAGGCAGGGGAAGTTGTTAAAGGCAAGAACAAAGAGGATGGCCTCGGATGTCTTGGAATAGCACACTCTGGCCACAGTGACCAGTAAGCATGGGGACATTAGTCCGAGGGTGAACACATGGTGCTGGGCAGATGTCCTTGTGGAAGCTGTTTTTCTGTAGGTTGTGGTGGCCTCTTTGTCATGTTGTAGCTCTGACAGTCTTTTGTGACAGTTACTCCCAGACATTTGTGCTGAAGAGTCCTTCCTTTGAGCCTCCTGGCTTTATTATTTTTTCTGGGGTGAAACAGGCGCGTCCTTTGGGATTCTGACGACTTGCACAGAATGGGTGTAGGAAGACTTGAGAAGCCAGGTGTTCATGTAAAGTCGTTTGGCCCCGGCAGACCCGAAAACTGAGTGCTCAGGTCCCTCACATGAGGCGGGATGCGGGTGTCAGCGCCACCCAGGGTGCTGTCTGCACCTTGAACACACTCGGTGCCCCGGCCACACCACCACTCAGAACCCACGGCCTCTGGTCCCGGCGTGAGAGGACCCAGGGTGTGCAGTTGTGGAAATGTGAGGACCGGGTGTCTGGTGTGGGAGCAAGAGGACCCGGGCATCCAGTGTGGGAGCGAGAGGACCCGGGGCATCCGGTGAGAGAGCGAGAGGACCTGGGCGTCCGGGTGAGGGAACGAGAGGACCCGGGGCATCCAGGTGTGAGAGCGAGAGGACCCGGGTGTCCGGTGAGGGAGCGAGAGGACCCGGGGCGTCCGGGTGTGGGAGTGAGAAGATCTGGGTGTCTGGTGAGGGAGCGAGAGGACCCGGATGTCCGGTGAGGGAGTGAGAGGACCTGGGGCGTCCGGGTGTGGGA